GTGGGGGGCTGCTTTCTATGTCCGGGCTGGCGGGCAGACGGCTGCGAACGGCTGAGCAGCAGGGGGGACCCGCCCTCACCTAACCCCCCGCGGCCCGGGCCCAGCGTGCCCGCCCTTTCCGCTTCCGGCAGGGTCCCGCGGGTCCCTCTAGGTGGCGACGTCGGAAGCGTTATGGCCGCCGCGGGCTCCGTGAAGGCGGCTTTGCAAGTGGCCGAGGTGCTGGAAAGCATCGTGAGCAAGTGCGTGGGCCCTGGCGGGCAGCAGGTGCTGTGCACGAAGAGCACCGGGGAGGTGCTGCTCAGCCGGGACGGAGGCCGCCTCCTGCAGGCGCTGCACGTAGAGCACCCCATAGCCAGGTACCGGCCCCCACGCCTGCCAGCCCAGCCTCTGTGCCCCGTGCCCGCATCCACGTGCCTCCGGGGAAACTGATTTGGGGTGATGCCAGTATACGCTCGGGATGGGAGCCAAATCGTACCAAGCCCCAGGAATATGTCTCTCATATTCCCCGCTTGCCCGTACCCTGGAATTTCGGAGTAAAACAAACCATAACCAGTGACAGGACGAACCATCAACGTATACCTTGTGAAACATGGTTTTAAGTTGGTTCCGTTGTGGGAATCCAGACATGAAAATCAGTTGGTTTTTTTGTTTGTTTGTTTTGTTTTTGGTACAGGCTGGTGGTGGAATGTGTTTCCAGTCATCTCAAAAAAACGGGAGATGGTGCTAAAACATTTATCATCATGCTTTGCCATTTGCTCAGAGAACTTGACGCACCGACAGACCAGAAAAAGGATTGTTTGGCTGCTGGAAATACACAAGCCCATGGGCAGCATTGGAAAAATTGTTGTCAGTGGAAATGTATTTCTCGTGCTCTTGTGACATTTCAGGCTCAAATATTAGACTCCTTTATGGATCAGTGCTTAAGTAGACACTTTTTGTCCATCTTTTCTTCATCCACTAAAGAGAAAATATTGTGTCGAAGCTCTATTGAGTTGCTCTTAGATGCATACTTTAGTGGAAGAGTGGGGAAAAATAATCACACATTTATTTCACAGTTAATGTGTGACTACCTTTTCAAGTGCATGGCTTGTAACGATGGGATTGAAGACTTCTTTGAGATGGTGGATATCTATTTTGTAGAGTTGAATGTTGGTGTCGCTGGGTTTCCCGTTTCAGATTCCAGGATCGTGGCTGGGCTTGTCCTTCACAGAGATTTTTCTGTGTATTGCCCAGCAGATGGTGACATAAGAACAGTGACAGTCTCGGGAACCATTCCGCCCCCTTTTTCTACATCAGGGTCAGAGTTTGTTCTGCATTCAGAAGCACAGTTTCAGGCATCGCAGTTTTGGATTATGGAAAAGACAAAGACAATAATGAAATATTTACAGAGTCAGAACGTAAAGTTGCTCTTATCTAGTGTGAAGCAACCAGATTTGGTAATTTACTATGCAGAACTGAATGGCATATCAGTGGTGGAGTATTTATCATCAGAAGAAATTTCTCTGATTCAAAGAATCACCGGTCTGTCTCCTGATGTACCACCACAGAGCTACTCACAGCATGAAATCTTTAACATTGCCTTGGTGAGATTTTGCAAACCCCTTATCCTGAAATCCAAAAGGTATGTTCATCTTGGCTTGATTAGCACATGCTTATTTATACCACACTGTCTAGTCCTTTGTGGCCCAGTGCAAGGTCTTGTTGAACAACATGAGAATGCTTTACATGGAGCATTTAAAATGCTTCGGCAATTATTTAAAGACCATGATCTAAGTTACATGGCACAATCAGGTCATCCGAATTCTACATCAAGCCCCCTTATTGATAAGAGTAAAGAAAGTGATCCGTTACCAGAAGTTGGTAATAACTCAATGCGAAGGCCATGTGAGGGCACAGTTGTAAAGGACAAAGATGGACTTAAAAGTGTTCAGACACATTTAATAGCACATTCAAATTGGGAGATGCCAAGTATTGAATTAGAAACAGCTAGTCCATGTCCAACACCAAAAATGACACCAAGAACTACATACCAAACAGATAACACAATGAAGCATTTATCTCAAGACAATACCAGGATAATTGATTACCATGAACCATTAATGGAGAGTAAGCTCACTGCTAATTCAACAACAGAAAACCCTAAAATAGAAATGTCTCCCAAAAATGTACAGGTCACAAGAAATACTGGGAAAGGAAGCATATTACCAGTGAGTTTTAAGTCCCGGGAGAGTTACTACTATTCCTCATCTCTATCAGCAGGCTGTGTTCTGCCAGTGGGGGGCAATTTTGAGATCCTGTTCCACTACTATCTACTGAACTATGCTAAAAAGTGCCAGCAATCAGAGGAAACCGCCGTTAGTATGATCCTAGCTAATGCGCTTCTGGGTGTTCCCAAAATCCTTTATAAGTATAAAAAAGGGAGTTACAGCTTTCCACAAATATATGTGAGAACTCTCTACGCATTGCAAACCAATCGACCCATTGTAAGCACTCAAACAGGCTTGGAGTCAGTAGCTGGTAAATACCAATTGCTCAGTTCAGTTCTTCAGTGTTTGACAAAAATTTTAACCATCGATTTAGTCATCAATATTAAGAGACAACCTCAGATAGTTTATGATGAAGATTCAGAAGATGAACTATAGAATTGAAAGTTTTTATAACCAATATTTAAAGATAAACTCAAAAGCTATATAATCAAGTATGTGACCACCAATTTTCAAGTCAGTTCAGTGTAGTAAGCAAAACAACATGGCTGAGAAGTCTTTGGAGGTACAATAAGGCCCTGGATGGGGGAGACCGAGGTCCTGCCAAGTACGCCTTTTGCTTCCCTTTCCCATGAGGGTTAATCTATGTGCTTGAGGGAGTATTTTCATTGTTTATGATATAAAATGTTATCTTTCATTGTTTAAAACAATTTCCTTATTTGTAAGGCAGTGAATAAAATGGTTCAATTATTTTTCTCAGTAAGCATAGACATTTAATTATATTTTATTCTTAAATGTGGCTTATGATATAGTTACATTTCTTTTTTTTTTCATGTGCTACATAATGCTCATTCACATAGCATCGACTACATATATCCGTAGTCCCACTTCCTGTGAATCTTATTATATTACAAATATGAGCTTTATAATAACAAATTAACACTACCATGTGTCACACATCAAAGCCTTATCATTAGTATTATTATTGTACTATTATTTAAAAGATAGTTTTGTAATCTAGGAGTGTTCCTTAAAAGTTTTCTTTGAATGCATAGACTGGTACACTGTATGTGAGAGGACTTAAAAAATAACCACAGAAAATGGATTTAAAAGTTAAGGGAGCTTTATCATGAACTTTAAAAAAAATCATTTTATTAGGGGCTCATACAACTCTTATCACAATCCATACATACATCAATTGTGTAAAGCACATTTGTACATTCATTACCCCCATCATTCTCAAACATTTGCTCTCCACTTAAGCCCCTGGCATCAGCTCCTCATTTTTCCCCGCTCCCCCCTCCCTCATAAACCCTAGATAATTTATAAATTATTGTTTTGTCATATCTTGCACTGTCTGACGTCTCCCTTCACCGATTTATATGTTGTCCGTCCCCCAGGGAGGAGGTTATATGTAGATCCTTGTAATCGGTTCCCCCTTTGCAGCCCACCCTCCCTCCACCCTCCTGTGCAAATGCCTAGATAGGTTTATTTTTACCTACCATTACTCCTTTGAGTATATATTTCCCCAAGTATGATTTTGTGGTTGGTGAACTTACTTCTGTAGTTAAAAGTGAGTACCTGAAAGGATATGAAATCCATGCTATCACCACTCTTCTTTTTCTTTCTTTCACTTTTTTTTAATTAGGTGAAGGTTTGCAGAACAAACCATAGTTTTACATCCAATGCTTCATACAAACCTTGATCCAACTCATCCTTCGCAATGTCCTCAGTACCATCACTCATCCCACTTGCTCCTGCCTCCTGTTTCCAGTCCTCTTCCTTTCCCAACTCTGAACGTTGTCTTTGGGTACAGGTTGCTCTTTTGACCTACATGGTTGATACGTCTAACACAGATGCGTTCAGTCCCACACCTGAGGGGCAAAGGCCATAGTCTTCAGGGTCCCACCAGTCTTGACGTGACTGGTAAACCTGCTCTCATGATTCTGAGTCTCTTACACGGTTTTTCCCTGGTTCTATCTGAGACCTTCTAATGTGATCCTTTTCAGAGCAGTTGGTAGTAGTAGGTGTGTACCTCCTAGTTCTTCTGTTGGCAGGGTTGTGGAGGTGGATGTTGACATGGTTGCCTAGTCTATTGGCTGATGGTTTTTATGTACCTTTTCCGTTAGATGGGTGCTCATGAGCTTCTAAGACCCCTATCACAACTCACCAAATTCGTATGTCTAACATTTCCTTTGTGGGCTGTTACACCAACTGACCTTCTATCCTCTGCGACTATGAACCTGATGCCGTAGGTCCAGTGACGACTCCTATAAGGTGTTTGATTATGCCTAAGACATTTTTTATAGCTTTGTCCTATGCGTGCTCCACCACATTCATGGATGTTATTTGTAGCACATATACAAATAAACTCTGTCAAACATGTATTTTGGTAAGGGTATGCCTATTCTACCTCTCCCACCTGTTCAACCTGCGTGTCTACCCAAGCATCTATTTTATCATGTCTTCTCTTACCTGATAACGACTTATAGGTGGTTTTCCCAGGGCGAGGCTTATCCATTGCATTCCGGGTGTGCTGACCCCTGCGATTTCCCCAAATGTGGGAAACTTGACTGCATAATTTGTGGTAGTGGGGGACTGCATTCACGCTCTCCCCTGAAAAAAAAACAATAGTTGCTTTTTTCCCCCTTTGCTTTATTGAAACAGATTTCAGTAGTAGTAGATACTGTGAAAACTATTATATCCAACGTGAATTTACAAATATCCTTTTTAAGTTTATAAAGGTAAGCGATACTATGCATGTAACCATGGGTAAGACATAGTCTTATGATTTTTAGTAATACCCAAATAGTGCTCTGCTTGCACCAAGGTTTCAAAAGTGTTCATTTCCCTTTTGCTACTTGAATTCTTACTACGTTTTTCTGTGTGCGGGACCCTATGCCAGAGCTGATTATACAGTGTTGAGCAAAACTGACATGGTTCTTGTCCTCGGCTACCTTTCTCATAAGGTAATATGTGACCGCGTGTGGGGCATTGAAGAAAATTGATTTTTGAAAATTTAATTATAGTTACATTTGAATAAATGGTGACTAATAATGTATTTTCCACAAACACTTTACCCTGGACCACCTCCCTAAAGGTTGGAGACTCAAAACTACCCAGAATGCAGAGGAAGAAAGGCCTGATTTCATAAACATTAAAGCCAAAAACACCCTATGTAGCAGTTCCACCCCGTAAACATGCAGGGTGACTGTGAGTTGGAATTGATTTGACAGCAGTAGATTGGTGTGTATGTTTGTTTATTGGTTGGTTTAATAATGTATTTGAAAACCGCATCCTCGGAATAATAGAACAGAGTTCTACCCAGTCCTATGCCATCTGCACAATGATTATTGTATGACCGGATCAATACCAGGCCGGCTTCTAACAGCAAGTGACATTGAATCTCCCCCACCCATTTGGAGCTGAGGAGAGCTGGCTGAAACAACTAGCAGCAAGTGACCTTGAATCTCCCACACACGCCTGCGGAGCTGACCAGAGCTGGCTAATGGCCCGCTTTGCTCTCTGCCCTCCCCTCTGCACCCAGCACGGCCCATTTGGCTCAGTGCCTGCTTTGTTCTCACCCACCGCTCTGCACCCGGCACGAATACACCCAGAACCAGGAAGACACCTTACATTCCAGAAACCGGACATACCTGTCCATATATAAGCACCACCCCTGTAGCCTGCAGTGCGATTCCCCGGCCCGGACACTGTGGACAGTGGAACTTCGCCCAGGCTGGGTTTTTCTCCCCAAATGAAGCCTGTTGGTTCTAATACGACTGATTTGGTCTCTGGCGCCTCTCGACTACCTTACAATTAAGTTTGAACCCATTTTTGTAGACTGTGTCAATCTATCCTATCAAGGGTCTTAATTCTTCCCTAACCATCTACCTTACTAAGCATCCATTAAATGTCTTTTGACAAACTGTTCAATGATTAGTCATTCAGTCATGTTTATTCCTCTCAAATTTTCATGGACAAAGGATATGTTAGGTGAAAAAAAAGCTGAAAACATACAATAGTCCTACACAAACCATTCTTAAATTTTTTTTCTAATAAATGACAAAACCTTCATGGGCTATATAATTACCAGAATAATATTGAGTTTGCATCGCTGTTAACCTGAAAATGTAGTTACATTGTATGTATCACACCATCTCAAAGGATTTGAGTAACCTTCAATAATATAAAATTATGGTAAAATCTGAATAAAAAATTAAAATGTAAAGATAATTAGAAGTAAAGACTACATTCCTGTTTTCTAGCTCCGATGAATGAAAGTTGAATACATTTGAAACATTTTTATTGCCTCTCCTGGTTCTAGAAGTTGCCCAGGTCGCCAACCTTCTGGACAACTAGTGCTTGTCCTTTATGTAAATTAGCCCTTGGCGAGAAACAGTTGAGCAGACCACCATCTCGGCAGCTCTTTCACCTTCGCTGCCGCAAGGGCAGAACGGCGTAGGTGTAGTTTTGGCCCTGACATTGACGAGAAGTCCATGGCAATTCATAGCTGCCTTAGGTAAGGTATTCAAGACTGAATCTTTTGAAAATCAATTTATTGGCACATAATCCACATCATACAATTCAATAGTTCAATCACATCAAGAAAAGCCATACAATCATTAGCAATCGGTTTTAAAGTAGTCTTTCCTTCTCATTATTAGCTCCCCATCCTATCCCCCCACCCCTCCAAGAAACCATTAATCTAGTTACTGCTAACGTAGATTTGCTTAGCCTGGATTCCATATAAAAACAGACTAAACAAACCAGAGCACCAACAACAATAACAAAGTAAAACAAAGGCTTCGATCGAAAATAAAGCAGAAAACATTAAAAACTAGAACTTTAAAATGAGTCATAAGGGAGATCAAATGATAAGGTGTGAAATTTTAACCTAACTATATCTGCAAAAATCCACTTTCCAATACTATCGACAGGATAGCAAAGCTATTCCCATCCTTGATCTGGGAATTACCTGGATGCTGCTGGTTGTGGCACTCACACAGGCCTGTCAAGACCCAAGGAAAGGAACCCTGATCCAACCAGTTGATGGGAAGTGTCAGTATCACATTAGAATATGTGGCACGGGATAAACTGAGGCAGCTATCTTTGGAAATTATCATCTGGTATATCATAGAATATAGGACAAAATGCAACTTCTCAGCTAAGTTCCTTATAATTGTTTTCTGAAGTTATATGCTAATATACCTGGTACAAGCCCCTCCTTTCCCACTAACCTTTATGAACCTCATTTTTTCTTACTGGATCAGTACAGGTCATTTTTATGTGCTCCCCAAAGCAACAACAAGCATTAACCATGAACATTTAACATCCTGTACTCGTTCTGCCCGCAGTTATTTAAATTGTGTCAAATAAGAAGTCCCTTGGTTTCCATGTCATACTTTTTTAAAATGAGAGAAAAACACCCGAACTGGAGTTTTTATCAGAATTGACGCACCCCACAAAAGAAACAATGTTTGCCTTTCCCCTCCTGACAATGGGGAAACACCAGCTCACTTGTGTAGGCCCCAGCACTGACAGCAGGCATTAGGTGCGATGCTGAGCACACAAACCCCGGAGTCTGACGTTCTTTCTATCCAGGATTTGGCAGAGGCTATTGAAAGGGTTTTGTTGTCTTGTTTTATAAGGAAATGAACAACACAATATAATTCAGGACTTAGATTGAATATTGGAAACGGTACAAGATTATTTATTGCAGCTTCATTGGTAATAGCAAAATGTTGGTGATGAGCTCAGCTA